AGCTGAGAGTTTAGAAAGGAAGCGGATATTAGAGTCATGTCTTCTAGCAGATAAGGAAGGAGGTTGTAAGAAATTTTGAATAGGAGTTAAGTCATGAGGTGGATAGGGGATATTAAGGAAATGAGCCGCAAAGCGTAAAAATTTACGCTGCACTCTTTCAAGCATCATAGAGTCGGTAGCTGTATAAGGATCCCATAACACCAAACCATACCCAAGGATAGAGCGAACCAGCGAACAAAAAAGATTTTTTAGTGGTCTTGAGAGGTGAAATTCATGAGAAATTCTCTGAATGAAACCTAAAGTTTTCAGAGCCTTACAACATACTTCTACAATATGAAGTCAAAAATTTAAAGTAGGAGTGAGACGAAACCCAAGGTCAACTATAGAAGGAACAAAAGAAATAAGATGGTTATGAATATAGTAAGTTGAAGATATAGGATTAGAAATACGTGTAAAAGTTATTTTATAACATTTAGAGGTATTAAAAGTCAAGCCAATTGATTTAGCCCAACTAACTAAGCGATCTACAGGGTGATTCATTAAGGATAAGACACTTGTTTACTCAGTAGTTATTGAAAATTTTTAATTTTTAGTAAGGAAAATATTGTTTGATTCAAAAAACACTAAAATAATATGAAGTAAAAACATGATATTTTTCATCCCTTCAAGGTTAAAAACATTAACTTGATTTTTTTTAAATGGGAATACATATTTTGAATTTAATAAAATGTTTGAGTTTTTAATTTATTAGCAAATGGCATTTGAATTTTTAATATAACTATATTTGTTTATTAGATATAAATACTCAAAGTTTCTAAGTTTGAGTTAATATACATGTATAATACATTAGAGATTAAAATTACAGGTATATAATTGGTTTTTTATGACATCGATATTAGCAGGTACACAGCATTGTTATTATCAATGGTAGTAAGGCACATTGTTGTGAGTTTATAAATACACTAACTGACAATACAGAAAGTATATCTATGGATAGTCATAATTGATAATAACAATACTGTATACCTGCTAATATCGATGTCATAAAAAATCAATTAGCTAAATTATATCATATAATCTTTAATTTAAGGTATATATAAAAAGTGTTAGTCTTTCCGGAACATTTTCAATTGTTAAGTTGAAATAGTTAATTTTTTGTTTCAAAAAGTTACCATTTTGAAACCCTTCATGTGGGCTGTTAAAGGGTCAAATGTTCACAAAAATTTATAAAATGATAGGTTAATATTTAATGTATCTATAAAAAAAAATTATATTGATTCGGTAATATTTAAATAAGTTATGGCAATTTTAAGTAAAAGAAATTGAAATAATGTTGAAAATTAGCGGTTTTTAAATTTGTAATTTTTTGGGGGATATCCCCCGTTTACAGAGAACAAGGGAATTTTTTCAAATTTGAAGGGTAATGTCTTTGACTAGATACGATTTGTGACCTTTGACATATTTTTCATCAAAATAGTCTAGCGAGAGCTGAGATTGAGCGTATACAGACAAAAAAAACACATCATAGTAAAATTAATACCTTCATAGCTTCTCATCGAAGCTAAAATAAATATAAAAAAAAAANCCTAAACACAACCCCTTTGAGGGTTGAGAAAGGGTGGGTCTAACAAACTCAAATTTTATACACACACTTCTATAAGTCAATCAAATAAAATGAGGGGATCTGGATATACATTTTTGAAGTTTAAAATTAAGGACCACCCAACTAGATATGTTGCATTATTAATCTTGAGTTTAATATTATTCATAATCCGTTTATATTCAATGTCAAGTAATGGTTTACAAATTGAATATGGTGGAGGTATTTTAAATTTAAATCTTAGGCTATTTTATTTATTTATTATAAATTATACAGGCAATAGCCCAAAAAATACAATATGTATTAGACAGTTAACTGGACAACTTAAAATTATCTAATAACTAAAAATGAAACATTAATAAATTTAAGCTTGACAAAGAGAAAAAGAAAAATTTAAACATAATCAAAAATTTAAATATTAAATAGGAAGGCTAAATGACTAAATTAAAAATGAATAGAATGTAAAAAGTCAGGGTCATTATTTGCAATGCGCATTAAACGTAGGAGAGCGGAATGAAAAATATAATTAGAAAATGAATGAGGAATGAGGAAAGGGGCAGTATAGCGAGTTGAACGAGCAGGAACCCGAAAGTTCAATTTAGAAAGTAGGACAGGAGAATCAATCAAGCCAGCTGAGAGTTTAGAAAGGAAGCGGATATTAGAGTCATGTCTTCTAGCAGATAAGGAAGGAGGTTGTAAGAAATTTTGAATAGGAGTTAAGTCATGAGGTGGATAGGGGATATTAAGGAAATGAGCCGCAAAGCGTAAAAATTTACGCTGCACTCTTTCAAGCATCATAGAGTCGGTAGCTGTATAAGGATCCCATAACACCAAACCATACCCAAGGATAGAGCGAACCAGCGAACAAAAAAGATTTTTTAGTGGTCTTGAGAGGTGAAATTCATGAGAAATTCTCTGAATGAAACCTAAAGTTTTGAGAGCCTTACAACATACTTCTACAATATGAAGTCAAAAATTTAAAGTAGGAGTGAGACGAAACCCAAGGTCAACTATAGAAGGAACAAAAGAAATAAGATGGTTATGAATATAGTAAGTTGAAGATATAGGATTAGAAATACGTGTAAAAGTTATTTTATAACATTTAGAGGTATTAAAAGTCAAGCCAATTGATTTAGCCCAACTAACTAAGCGATCTACAGGGTGATTCATTAAGGATAAGACACTTGTTTACTCAGTAGTTATTGAAAATTTTTAATTTTTAGTAAGGAAAATATTGTTTGATTCAAAAAACACTAAAATAATATGAAGTAAAAACATGATATTTTTCATCCCTTCAAGGTTAAAAACATTAACTTGATTTTTTTTAAATGGGAATACATATTTTGAATTTAATAAAATGTTTGAGTTTTTAATTTATTAGCAAATGGCATTTGAATTTTTAATATAACTATATTTGTTTATTAGATATAAATACTCAAAGTTTCTAAGTTTGAGTTAATATACATGTATAATACATTAGAGATTAAAATTACAGGTATATAATTGGTTTTTTATGACATCGATATTAGCAGGTACACAGCATTGTTATTATCAATGGTAGTAAGGCACATTGTTGTGAGTTTATAAATACACTAACTGACAATATAGAAATTATATCTATGGATAGTCATAATTGATAATAACAATACTGTATACCTGCTAATATCGATGTCATAAAAAATCAATTAGCTAAATTATATCATATTATCTTTAATTTAAGGTATATATAAAAAGTGTTAGTCTTTCCGGAACATTTTCAATTGTTAAGTTGAAAAAGTTAATTTTTTGTTTCAAAAAGTTACCATTTTGAAACCCTTCATGTGGGCTGTTAAAGGGTCAAATGTTCACAAAAATTTATAAAATGATAGGTTAATATTTAATGTATCTATAAAAAAAAATTATATTGATTCGGTAATATTTAAATAAGTTATGGCAATTTTAAGTAAAAGAAATTGAAATAATGTTGAAAATTAGCGGTTTTTAAATTTGTAATTTTTTGGGGGATATCCCCCGTTTACAGAGAACAAGGGAATTTTTTCAAATTTGAAGGGTAATGTCTTTGACTAGATACGATTTGTGACCTTTGACATATTTTTCATCAAAATAGTCTAGCGAGAGCTGAGATTGAGCGTATACAGACAAAAAAAACACATCATAGTAAAATTAATACCTTCATAGCTTCTCATCGAAGCTAAAATAAATATAAAAAAAAAACACATCATAGCTTCGCTTCGAAATTTTACAGATTGTCAATAAGCTATTATTGTGATTTTTGTTTTTTTTTTTAGTTACTCTAAAAAGTGGCTAAAATCAAAACTCATACATTAAATTGCCTTAAAATACGAACAGGTACAAGTGTGATATAAAAACAAGATTATTTCTAAGAACATATCAAAATCAATAATGCATAGTTCTTTTAATTTTTATATCAAAATTCAAATTTCGTTGAGCTAGAATTGAGTTCTGGCATACTATTCGACTCTATAAATTATAAAAGAATAACTAATATAATTATGCAGAACCGACTTGATTCATATGTCTTCCTTTGTTTGAAAGATTTAATTTCTTTAAACTACCAATAATAAGGGTTACAGCGTCCAGGGTGAAATGTGTCGCAAACTTCGAAGTGATAGAATCTTTTATGTGGGCGTTTTTTGGAATGAGTAAGAGGGTAGTTGAATTTTGTGTAAAGGTATTATTTTTTTATTTATCTTATCCACGTGTGAACACTGGTTTGGTGATATTTTTTTATTAAGTGTATGTATTATTTACTACATGTATTAAAATGTAAGACTACAGAAGAAAGGAGGATATTATTGTAAGTTAGGGTGCTAAAATTCATTAGCCACATTTTATTATGTATGACATTAGAAGAACCTTATTCATCCCACTGGTAGAACTATCCGTAACAAAATCATGCTCACGACTATGCTTTAAATTGTACGACATAGTATTTTTTGACAAATTATAAATTATTTAGAAATTTAAAAACTCAAAAGAATCACCGTAGTTGAAATTTGTTCGGAAAATTTAATTAATTACCGTATTGTAATTTTTTTTTGAAAAATGTAAATAAGATAAAATTAACAAAGAAATTAATATTTAACATTTGATTTCTTTTTCTATTTTTTGATGAAACAGACTTTATTATAAAGCAAGGGGTATTATTCACAAGTCTATATATTATAATACTATTTTAATATTTATAGTATATCATATAATTTTAGGTAAATACATATTCTTTTGATTACCTGAAATTTAAATGTCAATCATTTTCTCGACAAAGGGAAATAGTGGTCATTTCTTTTTGGTCACGGCAGTATTTTCATAAATAATAAAAAGTAATAAAATTTACCTTATTTTCATTAAAAATACTTTCAGTATACAGCCAGTAGTTACATAGTGATAACTAAAAGGTAAATGTTCAGTTTATCGTAAATTTAATGAAATTATATTTTATTTAATGATATTATTTGACATAATTGTATAATATAACATTCTTAAATATATTTAATTCTATAAAGAAATAGAAAAAATTTAAATATGGTGTTTAAAAAGTAAGAAATAAAACAATAGATACAGAAAAATTGGAAAAGTATAAAACTTTTACTTTTCTTATTAAACATCATGAATAATACAAAGTGATTAATTTATTATGCCTCACACAATATTTTTAAAAGCATAAAAAAAAATTACTCTGTCCACTTAAGTATTAACTTAAGTTTTTTTAATTAAAGTTGATACTATTTTCATTCGATGCGAAGCTGAGAAGGTATTAATTTTACTGTGATGTGTTTTTTATTTATTTTATTTTTATTTATTATTTTGTGTCTGTTACCACTTTTTTTCAGCTCTTACCGAACCGATTTCTTTCAACGATACGTCAAAAGATCACGAATTGTATCTAATCGAAGACATTACCCTCAAAAATTAAAAAAATTTCTCTCGTTCCCCCTTAATGGGGGAAATCTCCAAAAAAATTACAAATTTAAAAATCGCTAATTTTCGAAATTTTTTCAATTTTCATTTACTTAAAACTGCCATAACTATTTGAAAAATAGATAAATAGAAACAATTTTTTTTTATAGATATATTAGGTAATTATCTATTATTTGGTATATTTTTTTTGTAAATCTGACCCTTCACTTGCCCAGAGTGAGGATTCAAATGATAACTAATCAATAAATAATTAATTTTTCAACTTAACTTTTGATAGTGATCTGGAAATACTGACACTTTTATATTTATATTATAGTTTTTTCATTCGACATACTTTTTTTTTAAATCGGACCATTTCTCTTAATACAGGGGTTTCAAAACATAAAAATGCATATAGAAAGTAGAACTTTTTCAATTTAATTTTTGAAAGTGTTCCGAAAATACTGACACTTTTCTATATATCTTAAATTAAACCTTATGAAATATACTTTAATATTAAAAAAAAAAATTTCGGACATTATTTTGTCTTCATGATGAAAATAGCAATAATAGTGATTAAAATCACTATCATAAGAAACGCTTCGATGCAAATCTGTAGATAGTATTTAATTTTAAAAAATTGATGGATTATTCCAAAAGCTACATCAACTTCTATTTCCTTAATTATACCCAGATTAGTAATTCTTTTAATTATATAGTATATAATTTTTAAAATTAATTGTTTTCAAATTATTATTGATTTTGTTTTTTAATATGTTAAAAGTAATAATTTTGAACCTAATTTTTTTTGTCTTTTAAAGTGAAGGTTTTAATAAAAAAAAATGAATTTATTACCTAAATTTTTAGCTCAACTTGCAAGTTTGAAATTGACATTATTAAATAGAAAAAAATGAAATTGTTAAGATTAATATTCAATCAGGAAATTTTATAATTACTGTTTACAGTACATTTATCAGAAAAATTCGATTTTTTGAATTTTTATTGTAATAGATCACTTAAATAAAAATCATAGTAATCATTTCTAATTAACTTTTGGCGTTTAAAAAGATTCTACAATGGAAATATTCAGAATTTAATTTATTTTAATGGTTATATATCTAAAAAAAAACAATAAAAAAAAAGTTGTTAAAAAGATTTACTCAATTGAGCGTATTATAAAATTTGATTATAATTGTAAAAATCCATCGTTAAATTCAGGGATTTAAAAAGACAACTTTTTCACAAAAAATTAACTTTTTCAACTTAACTTTTGAAAATGTTCCGGAAGGTCTGACACTTTTATATATATCTTAAATTAAAGCTAATGTAATATACTTTAATTTGAAAAAAAAAAATTTGACCTCTGGACTTGTCTTCATGGTGAAAATGATTACTATATGCAAAAATATGCTATTTTTTGAAAAAATTTTTGATATTATATTTTACATTTTTTACTTTAAAGTGCTATAACTTTTTAAAAAATGTATGGATCAATACAATTTTTTCATGAGAAGTAACTTTATATATACTTCTTTCATTCGACATACTTTTTTTTAAAATCGGACCATTTCCCTTTATACAGGGGGGGTGCAAACCTTTTAANCATTTCCCTATATACGGGGGGGCTTCAAATATAAAAAATGCATATATAAAGTAGAACTTTTTCAACTTAACTTTTAAAAGTGTTCCGGAAGGTCTGACACTTTTATATATATCTTAAATTAAACCTTATGAAATATACTTTAATATTAAAAAAAAAAAAAATTGACCTCTAGACTTATCTTCACGGCGAAAATGGCTAACGAATGCTATTTTCGTGTGGAAATTCTCGATTTTATTTTTTATATTATATTTAACTTTATAATGCTATAACTTATTGAAAAGTGTATGGATCCACATAATTAAAATTAAACACTATCTAAAGATTTGCATCGAAGCGTTTATTTTAGATAGTGATTTTAATCATTGTCAGATATCATTATACTTGATTCAACTATACCACGGCACCACTGAGCCACGACCCCCCTGTGCTGGGTTTTTTTTTTATTTGAATAAGGAATATTTTTTCGATTTTTAAGAGTAATAACTTAAACAAAATACGAATTGTAATCATTTGACGTATCATTGAAAAAAGTAGGTCTAGTGAGGGTTGGCAAAATAAATCGTAGTCATAAAAAAAACTACATAGTAAAATAATATTAACATGAATATAAATTTCTTCTCACGGGGGGAGTCTATAGTGATAGGATACATTATATTTATTGAAGTTATTGAATCTAAATGAGATAAATATCAAATGATTTGAAAATTTTATTCTAACTAAGAAAAAAAAATTAAAAATATTAATGACTACAGACGGATTTGAAACTCGTACCCTATGCGTGAAAGACACAAGTGTTACCGATTCGGCAACTGTTCGTCGCTTACTGCGCACTATAAAATTAGCTATTTAAGTCAAATTTAAAAGTTACTTTTTCGACTTTAAAAAAGGAAAAAAAAATTTAAATAAGTTAAATTTCTTATGTCTGATGAACTTTATTCTATGTCAATTAAATTATATAATATTCATGAAAGTCAGTGTATTCCTCTAATAAGATATTTTAAAATAAAATAAAATACAAAACCCAGAATTTTATACAAAAATAACATATTTTTAAATACGGTAGCCATTCGCGCATACAAGATAGGTCGTCGTAATAATTTTTTTTTTTAATTTTATAGTACATGACATAAGCTTTAATTTGATATATGTTTAAAGGACGCAGTATTTCCGGAACATTTTCAAAAATGAAGTTGAAAAAGTTAGTTTTTGTAAAAAAAGTTGTTATTTTAAAATCACCCTGTGAGCAGAATAAGTGTTAGATTTTCAAAAATGATAAAAATGATATCAAATGAAAGGGAAATATCTATGGTTTTAGTATAAAAAAATATGTTGATTTTTAAAAAAGTTATGGAAGTTTTAAGAAAAATAGGTAAAAAAAAGACAAACTTTAACGATTTTTAAATTTGTAATTTTTTTTGGAAATTTCCCCCATTTGCGGGGAACAACGGAAATGTTTTCAATTTTTGAGAATAATGTCTAGATTCGATTTGTGATCTATTGACGTATCGTTGAAAGAAATCGGTTAAATGAGAGCTAAGAAAAAGTGATACAGACACAAAAAAAAACGTGATGGTAAAATGAAAGTCTATTCAGCTTCGAATCATCTAAGCTATAATAATATATTTAAAATAATTTCTGGTTGTCAAATACTTCTGTATCAATATTTTGCAATACTTTGCTAAACTAGTGCGGGAGAAGTGTGGGTATGTTTATTATAATATCTAGTCGTTTATTGACTAAACTATTTGTCTTGTCATAGTATAAAAGATCTATTAATTTTGAAAATACTGATTCAAAAGTTTATATCATCATAAAGAGGTAAGAAGGGAGAAGGGATCAGTTTTTTTTATTGAAAATTATAGAATTTGAGATATTATTAACTCTTGAGAAATAAATATTAAATATGTTTTTACTTTTAAAAATATTGCATAAGGCATAGTTAATCAATTACCACATACAGCCCAATTTAATAAAAAAAAATTTTTTTTTACTTTATTTAACAGTTGGATCTAATTTATTGTAAAAAAAATATTACTTGATATAAATGTAATTTGTTGAAATATTTATAACATTTTTTAGGTACAATTACTTATTTAGGTGCAGAACTGCAAATATCAAATGTATAATGCAAAATAAATTTCGAGAGAAGTTTGTTCTAAACGATCGAACATTAAGATATCTAAGACTCTATTATAATTTTAACCCTTTTAATCTGACTGCAATTCGTAATTTCAAGTTTTACCAATTCCTGTATTCCCTATTATTATTAGTGGAATTTATTGAAATAAACTGCTATGTGTTTATTGGTTTTTGCTATGTGACAAATGATTTATTATCAGTTGTGCAAATACTTATAAATGTGATGTGCTCTATTTTAATATTTCTCAACACCTATAGACTTTCCACAAAATATGATGAATTAAGAAAATTAATCGATGCAACGAGTAGCGACTTTCTGTCTTCTAGTTATAAAGGATAATATATATTTGAAAGCAATAAATCTATGTGTACTAAAATAATAGACATATACACTATGATATATTTTTTGGGAGGGATACTTTGGATCTTTAGTCCATTGTTTATAAAAGAATTTACTTTTAAAAAAAGAGATGGCAGTCTAATAATTTTTCAAAACAACGTTCTAAACTCATTTTTCAGTTTCATACCAATTTCAGTATACGATCGAATTTACCCAATTGTATATCTATTAGAAGCTATTGAATTATTACACATGATGTATGGTTTGATTTTCTACAATGTAATAGTTGTACAATTTTGTTGGATGTTATCTGCTCATTTGAAAATCGTTGCTTTTAAATGCAAAAAATTTGGACAAATTAATGTAGAATTTGGTATGTGTAACGCTAATGATTATTTTTTATTTTATAATTTTTT